GGTGTAATGGTCAGAGTAATTTTCTTGGTCCACTCTGGGCCCCACAGTACCAACTGAGCATCGTTTAAAGCATACCTGAATATTGTTGCTGGCTATGTCGATCCTTGTATGACCACAGTAGAACAATCTTCTAATGGCTACTTCCAGAAGGATAACACACCACGTCACAAAGTTAAAATCATCTCAAAACATGAACATGACACCAAGTTCACGGTTCTCAGACGACCTCCACAGTTACCAGATCTCAATCCAGTAGCGTGCCTTTTTTGATTTGTCAGCTTCACACAAATTTGCAGCAACTCTGTGACGCCATCATATCAACGTGGACCAAAATTGCTGAGGAACACTTCTAACATCTTCTTGGATCCATGAAGCAATAAGAGCTCTGAAGACAAAAGTAGGTCCACGGTACTAGAAAGGTGTACCTAATGAAGTGGCCAGTGATTCCATCTTTCATACTAGCAACAAATTTAATTGAGATATCATTATTAAACAAAAAAATCAAAAACAATTTACCGAGGTAAAGTGACTGGTAATACAGGGTGGGCCATTTATATGGATACACTGTAATAACATGGGAATGGTTAGTGATATTAAAGTCCTGTTTGTGGCACATTAGTATATGTGAGGGGGCAAACTCAAGATGGGTGGTGACCATGGTGGCCATTTAGAAGTCGGCCATATTGTTTTTTTCAATAGGAAGAGGGCCATGTGACACATCAAACTTATTGGTAATGTCACAAGAAAAACAATGGTGTGCTTGGTTTCAACGTAATTTGATTCTTTCATGAGTTATTTACAAGTTTCTGACCACTTATAAAATGTGTTCAATGTGCTGCCCATTGTGTTGGATTGTCAATGCAACCCTCTTCTCCCACTCTTCACACACTGATAGCAACACCGCAGGAGAAATGCCAGAACAGGCATCCAGTATCCGTAGTTTCAGGTGCTGCACATCTCGTATCTTCACACCATAGACAATTGCCTTCAGATGACCCCAAAGAAAAAAGTCTAAGAGGGTCGGATCGGGAGACCTTGGGGGCCATTCAACTGGCCCACGACGACCAATCCACTTTCCAGGAAACTGTTCATGTAGGAATGCTCGGACCTGGCACCCATAATGTGGTGGTTCACCATCTTGTTGGAAAAACTCAGGGAACGAGCCAGCTTCAGTGCATAAAGAGGGAAACACATCATCATGTAGCAATTTCAAATATCCAGTGGCCTTGAGGTTTCCATTGATGGAGAATGGACCCACTATCGTTGTACCCCATATACCACACCAAACCATCACTTTTGTTGTTCCAACAGTCTTGGAGGGATCCATCCAATGTGGGTTAGTGTCAGACCAATAGCGGTGGTTTTGTTTGTTAACTTCACCGTTCACATAAAAGTTTGCCTCATCACTGAACAAAATCTTCTGCGTGAACTGAGGGTCCTGTTCCAATTTTTGTTTTGCCCATTCTGCAAATTCTGTGCGCTGATCTGGGTCATCCTCATTGAGATGCTGCAGTAGCTGGAGTTTGTAAGGGTGCCATTTGTGAGTAGCTAATATCCGCCAAAGGGATGTTCGACTAATGCCACTCTCCAGTGACATGCAGCGAGTGCTACGCTGTGGGCTCTTGCTGAATGAAGCTAGGACAGCCACTGATGTTTCTTCATTAGTGACAGTTTTCTTGCGTCCACATTTTGGCAAACCCAACACTGAACCAGTTTCACGAAACCTAGCAAGCAGTTTGCTAACTGTAGCACGGGAGATGGGTGGTCTCGTAGGGTGTCTTGCATTGAAATCTGCTGCAATGACCCGGTTACTGCGTTCACCAGATATCAACACAATTTCAATCCGCTCCTCACGTGTTAACCTCTTCGACATGTCAATGGCTGTGAACAAAGAGAAACTTGTAAATAACTCATGAAAGAATAAAGTTATGTTGAAACCAAGCACACCATTGTTTTTCTTGTGACATTACCAATAAGTTTGATGTGTCACATGGCCCTCTTCCTATTGGAAAAACTAAAGCTTTATCCAAGATGGCCGACTTCTAAATGGCCACCATGGTCACCACCCATCTTGAGGAGTTTGCCCCCTCACATATACTAATGTGCCACAAACAGGACTTTAATATCACCAACCATTCCCATGTTATTACAGTGTATCCATATAAATGGCCCACCCTGTACTATAACATGTATATACACACTTCCGAAACTTACATCAGAAAATCACTATCAATCCACTTAGATGACACACAAAACCATTTAATCCCACTTCCATTTGCAGCCATAAAAAACCCATTGTCTTATTCAACTTGAAATTATAGTCATATTTTATTACAATATTAGAATTTGTACACATTGCCCTCTCCAACCTCTTTCATTTATAAATTTATTACATAAATATAATCAAAAAATGCAAAATAACGAAGGCAAATTTAACATGAATTCAAAAACAAAAAGTGTCACCTGACTCTGCGATAGAAACTCGAGGAATGTATTTTTCATATATATTTTTTTTAAACAAAGGTCAAACAAGTCAGAGTAGAGTCATCTAATTTAAAAAAAAAAAGAAGCTCTGCAACATTAAAAAAAAAAAAGTCAAGAGACTCATGTTCACTCTTTGTTTTTGATCATTACTCATGGGCTGTAATGGTGTTGCTAAGTTATTGCAAAATTAAAAACAATTCTCACTTTTGAAGACCAATCCAAAGAAAAAATATTGGGATTATTAAATTTATCATTGGCTGTAAGATAAATGTAAAGGTTAGTACTCATCCAACATAGGAGATCCCTTTAAGTGAGAAGATAATTATAACAAACCTATTAAAAAAAAAAAAGCTTCTATTATCACCCCCAACGGCTGGTCAGTTTATGATCATCAAACAGATCTGCGATCTGAGTAATCTTCACAAAACTCATGCAAAAATAAAAATCACTGCATGACCTTTAATGCAACCCTGCCCTTTGATGCTCATCTCATGCAAATCTAGGGTCTTGTATTTTTCAACAACCTTTTGGGACTTTGCTACTTTTGGGAATTCTCCACGCGGTTTTTAAAGACTTCTCTACCAGATTTAAAGATGCATCGCATCTCGAATGTTGACAATGACAATCAGTGAGTTTGCTTGTGAGCTAACACTGGTCAACCCTGTGACGTCAGGCATCAGATGTGACAACTATAATTGTGAACATGCAGACACTGAACAAACCAAATGAACAAAAACCAAAAAAACCCTTAAACCAAATTAACCAACAGGAACCTCCGTCATCCACATAGTCGAGCAGTGTAACATTAAATACAGCATGTAAAAAACAAAAACAGTAGGAAAAAAAGGTGTATTATAGAAAATTATATTATTACAGTATATATATATATATATGTATATGTGTGTGTGTGTGTGTGTCTGTTGACCTGTAAAGATTTTTAAAAAATAAACCAGAAAACACCCAGAAAAGTGTAAGCTTTGATGTAAACTTGTAAAAACAACCCTGTGATCATGTGGCTAAAGAAAAAGCTCTGATATGTGAATTAACCCCCAACCTTTCATTCATTCAAGCGAACATCACGAGAGCCGTTTTAAACAGCAGACAGGGAGAGTTGGGTGTTTCTCAGCAGTGCTGCCGTAAATGTCAGAGATTCTGGAGAGGATAAAGGGAGTCGCTAAGCTGCAAACGTCTTACCACCTCCTTGCCGGGTCCTTGATCCACGTATAACATGCTGCTGATGAGGCTGAGAGGTGGCTTGGGATGTCAATATCCAAGAGTGGAATAAAGGTTTGTTTGGGGTGGAGTGGGGAGTTTTTTTTTCTTTTTTTTTTCATTAAATCCCAGTGAGAGCAACACATGTACACAGTGTGACTGGGTTCTTGTTTCTCAATAGCCGTCCTTCTGAGTGATCATATGATCCTGGATCCTCTGCAGCATCTCCTGCATCCGCCGCAGCTGGGAGAAGAGAGCAGAGAGAGGAGACGGGTGTTAGTGTGATACGTTTGAATGCGACGCATCCACTTTCATAGCGGTGTGAAGTGTAAGGGGGATTTCATGGAAGCTATTCATTTACGCACGGCTGCACAGGCAACAAATCAATAAACGCCCGGGAGATGGGCCTGTTCTCCCCAAACCACGTGACATGTGCTGAATGGCAGCAGGGAAACAAGGCTCCCTCCATCTGCTGCTTCACTCTGGACTACAGAGTATCTGTTATCACAGAAGCAGCACTTTAGGATATTAAAATCACTAGTATCAGTCAGCGACTCAATCACCTAATCATGTTGAGTGAGTCCCCCCCCCTTATCAGATTTGTTTGAAATAAGCAGGTAACACAGGTGTTATACAGCTCCTGTTCACCTGGAGATGTTTGTCCAGCTGCTGCTGTGTGTGGGTTGGCTATAACACCCGTGGGCAAAGATGTATATTGAGCTAATTTGGTGTTACTGCGTTGCTTCATGTTGATCAGACAGAAAATGTAAAATAAACAAATGAGGGGAAAAAAATAAGACTCTTTATTTAATGAAATAAATAGATTTTGCACGGTCTGGTGTTGCAGAGGGAAGGGGGCTGGTATTGACATAGCTTATTTAACTCATTATGATTGCAGAACAACATTAAAACCATATACAACAGTCTATTCCTGAGACTCAAAACAGTCATTAACAAGGCAACAGTCTAGCATCTACAAACCCAAAATAAAAAGGAATCTATAAGGAAGGTTTCTTTTCACAACAGTAATATTTATAACTAAACTTTGCAAAAAAAAGTAAGGAAATTTGGGTTTGGTTGATTATTTCTGTGTTGCAACGATTCTGCTTGGTAATAAATCTTACACTGAGGGAATGCCTGTTTATTTCCTGTTAAATGGTGCCACATTTGTAATGAAAATACATCTGTGGGTTGAGCAGCGGATTTAAGCATGTGGGTTATGTGCACTAAAAACATTCTCTGCCACAGAGATGATTAATCCTGCTATTGAGTCTTGTTTTGAGCTTCTGACACCATGACTTCACCATCAGGCTCCTTTGCACCAGTGTCTGCAACATGTGCGGTGGGACCTAAACATGTGGAGGACTGTTATGTCCAGATTGTTGCTCACAGGAAAAACAAGGCTTGTCATCACTGCAGGCAAGGTCGATGCAGAGAGATTTCGAGATGAGATTTTGCAGCCAATGGCCATCTCTCTACAGTCTGGGACTGAACTCTATTCTCTAAGATGACAATCCCCCCACCCCCACAGAGAAGGGTTTATCAGAGACTACCTCCAGATTTTGGGAGTGGAGAGGATGAAATGGCCCACCTTCCATCCTGACCTTACCCCTGATCCCAAAAACCTGTAAGTGGCATGTTTGTGGGATCAGCTTGGGCCATAATGACCAACATAACATTGGCTGATTTGGGACAAATGCTGATTGAAGAACAGGATGTGACCATGAGGAGGAGGGTGCCAGGTCATTGGGGTTGTATTAAACAATTAAAGTATGTTTTGTTTCTTCAGACTTAAATAATCTAATCCATTAAATTACACCAAACAAGAGTCAATATCATAGCTGTTTGGCATTGGCAGGGAAGTTTTTCATGGGCTCAACTCTGCTGCTTGACTGACAAATGCATAAGATATAAGGATACAAGGTTTACTACCTGGAAGCATTGTTACAACAAAGAAGCAATCAACCAAACACAAATTTCCCTACTTTTTTATGCTACTTTACTTCCACTAAGCATCACAGTATTGCACAGTATGTAGCCCTTTAAATACCCACTAACAAGGTTTTTCTGTCAGTCTTAACACTTTCCCATCATTATCCTTCCCACCTTCTCTGACCTGCCATGGTCAGATGTTATGAGCTCAGGTGCAGGAACACATGTTACATTAAGCTTTTCTTTCTTTAATCCTGAGAAGGTTCATCCTGAAACTCTGGATGATGGCGTGGTTATAAACATCCTGGTGCTTCCAGAGAGTGTAAGGGGCAATCTCTTTTCCTAGTCACAGTTTAAAGCTCCAAAAGGCTACAGGTTTACTCTATAATTAAACCAGTTCCTGTTTATGAGACTGTTTTCTTGTGAGTTTCACAAAACGTGATCTGACTGGACTTAGAAAAAAAGTTTTTGGGTAAACACATCATCTGTGAGCTAAAGATACTCAGAGAGCTTCATCGCCTTTGTGATCTGAGTGCCTCTCTGGGCTGGGCTGACGGTCTGAGTGCTCGTGGTGATCAAAATTGTGGGCAGAGTCATGCTCGTGGTCGTGATGCGACTCCAGTTCGTGGTCGGCGTGCCGTACCTCCTCATCTTTCTCTCTGATGAGCTTTTCCGTCTCGGTCTCGGCCACTCCGGGCACCACTGGGATGGGGAAGTCTGTGCCGCTCTCCCGGGTTAGCTTACTGCAGAGAGACACACGTTTTGGGAAAGTTCACAGAGTTTACTACAGAACACAGACCAATGTAAATAAGCCTGTGATGTCTAATCAGCTGCCGACAAACATTGTTAAGACACCACACCAGACACGTCAGCGCAAACCCATCAAATACCTCAAGAATATATGAAGGTCACACGTTTTTTTAATCACATTCTCCTTCTCAAAACAACAATATTCTAACATTGTTATAATTCATCTTGATTTTTCTTGTGCCATATTTCTTTCATCTCACTAAAACTTATTTCTCCCGTCCTTCAGCGTGAGCATACTTGCGGTTGCGCTCCTTGACGACCATGCGGGTCATGCTCTGGATGCACTGAGCTCTGTAGTTCTCGTAGTGAGTCTCTCGGGTCACGTCCTTGAGATCTTGCATGTGCGTGCGAACGAGCATGTTCCTCAGCTTCACGAAATCGCAGTGTGCTGGGTTTTCCACTGCAGACCACAGAGTGAGGATCAACTACACACTCAATACTTATACACGTTCTCTGTCAACTTTTGTAATGGTACATCTATACAGAAAGCATTTTAGTATGTATGATTTTGAGGTCTTTGTTTAGGGGAACATGTGAGGTCAAGGTTACCTTCTACAATGCCCCAGGGGTACAGACGGCCTCGCACCCTCTTCCCTTTGGCCTCCACCACGGTGTTGCTGCCTATTACTGCAAAGGGGATGCTTTCCTAAAGGGGTCAAGATAAAGATCGTAATATTAAAAGCATGTTATGGTCATAAAGATCACATCTGGCTGGGCAGGGTGTGAACACATCTGTATTAAAAAAACAACAACAGACCAGTTATATCCCTTTCCTCTTAAATGTCTTTGTCCTTTCTTGTGCAAGACCTTTTCCCCCCCCCTTTTTAAACCTGATCTTTACCTAATCCAACAAGAGGTAGAATTCCATAAACCTCAAAGTTATTGATTTGATTGTAATCATACTGACATGACCGTAGCATATGTAGTCGACTGGACCATGAACTTAAGATAAAGCTTTGCATTAACTTTGCCTAGAGCACTGTCAGTGTATAGGGCAGTATAGGGCATAGATAAATATGATATCAATAAATATATTATATGTTTTTAAGATTTTCCTCATGTCACATACTTACATTGTTCAAAATGTGACATCTAACAAATTTGTTACATTATTGCAATTATTGCTGTTCCAGTAAATAAACCAGTATTAACCAGTAGTAATAAAATTATTAAAGACGTGTCACATGGTCAAACAAGCGCTGCAGGCCTGGCAAAACCAGCCTGTATGACACAGAAAATATATCCTATACTTACTAAAATTAAAATATATGAAATGCATCATAATTAAGAAGTAATTCTGATTTTCTTGATAGTTATTGTTTATTGACCAAAGTAAAGACCTGTGTGTTGAGCAGGGGTTTTGCTAGTAGTGATAACTTTTGCTTTTATTTCCACCGACTGTGTGCTTAGTACCACCTTACAATACGGGAAGTGTAGAGGAGGCCGATTCATCAACACTTAAATCCACCAGGTCTGACTATATAGTCTGTTCATTCATTTTAATGTCAATTCTTATTAATATTAAATTTGTTTGCAGCACAATTTGTTTTGAATGACAATGATTTGTCTTGACTCTGAGCATTCTGCTTTCAGCTGAGTTTAGTGTACTAAACACAAATACTTGGATGAAGGAAAGAAAGAAAGGAGATCACTGATCACCTTCAGCTCATGGTCTTGTTGCTTGAAATCTTCATCTTCATCAGAGTCGCAGTCGGGGAACTGGTATATCTTTATACCATACTGCTCAATCTCCTCTCTGATCTGCAAAGAAAAACAGTGGAAAAACATGTCTGACGTCAAAGTGTGAATAACGTCCTCTGTGAGGATACAAGTAAAACACTCTGCGGCGTATACACAGATTGATTCGTGGGATGAAACATGCAGTCGCCTTGCCTTAATTTTCTTTTTCTTCACTTCACCAGGGGTGAGTGTGTCTGCTTTGGCCAAGACTGGGACAATGTTGACCTTCTCATGGAGAGCCTTCATAAATTCCACATCCAGAGGTCGGAGGCTGGAAGAGATGAGGCAAAACATACCAAGAAAGGATAATAGGATAATGAGACACTTATTATTTATTAGGATAGTGTAGAGTAGACAAGAGAGTGGGCATTTTCGAAAAAGGTGAGTCACCTGAAAGCAGGCCACTGCAATAAGCACTACAGCTTTCAGCACGTGAGGAACACAAACTTTATTTTAGGGGTTCTCTGAGTTTTTATGGCTGGGTCGGTGTTTGTAGAGTGTAGAGTTTCTTCACAGAATGATGGTTTGCGCACGTTTATCGCTAACCATTAGTGAGGTTGGAGTTACATTCCTGGGCAAAAAGTTATCAATCATTGTCAGGAAGGTTTAGTTTGCTAATGATGACTAATTGAAGAAAAATACTTCCCGAGTCACATTCTGGGCTTCCCTATCATGGTTTAACATAAACTGTGGCTGAATGAAATATACAAGCCATGCGCTTTTTCCATGTTGCCTTCACAGGCCACAGAAAACTTCAAAAAAAAGGGCCACCACTGATGATTTACTGTTAGACAAGTTTAAACTGGGGTTGATAATCATTAACTGTTAGATCATTTTGTGCCAATAAACTCCATTTAGATTTGAAAGCGTTTCATAAATGCTCATGAATTGCTGGCAATCAGGATCAGACAACAACAGACTTACCTGCCGATCCACATCTAGATTTCTCCATTCTAAGCTTTCCTGCATAAAGTCTTATCTGTAGTTCAAAATTAAAGGTGCTAGTTTATCTCAGAGATTTAGCATGTGACCACATGCCATACAGCTGAAATGCATCAGTCTGGGTTGGAGTCCTTCCCCTTCCCCTCCTCTCTCTCTCTCCCCCTCCCCCCCATCTAATGCTGCACTATCAAATGACGGCAAAAATGTACAACCCCCTCCCCCCCAAAAAACTTGAAGCATAAGATGATGTCTCTGGCTGCATGGCACACTGGCCGACCAATCGGTGGCAGCAGACACTTGCTCACCAACAGAGGGAGCCGTTTCTCCATGGCTGTCACGCTGAAAATGCTCTGCAGCATTACTTGAATTTTATGGTATTCTGGCTCCTTGATGAACACAGATCTGGATGCGCACAAATGTGCTGAGAGGTACCACAACAGCACACAGCACAAACAATTGATTAGTGTAAAATCACTGCAGCAGATGTAAAGTTATCCAAGGGCAGCTGAGAGATGCTTTATCTCTGGGAAAGATGCTGGGCATCAACAATTTAAGAGGCTGAACACACTGTGAGTAAACACCGATCCACTAGATACGTGTGGAAGATATCACGTGTGCGCTCAGGACGATGGCTGCGATAAACATGTGATCAGAGATCACGAGGAAAAGTGTAGTTAATGGTCCCATTATCACTTCTGAACATTGCACGTGATAATGTGCTGCAGCAGAAACAACTTAATCTTCCATATTTTTAGAAGTAATAATAAAGAGAGGACGAGCAGGCTGAGTTAGCTGTAGCTTTGTCATACCCGTGACCGAAGGGTGAGATGAAATAGAGGCAGCAGTGTACGCGGTTGTCCTGGATGTTCTTGCGATTGAGGCCACTCTCATCCCTGAAGTACTGCTCGAACTGCTGGTCAATGTAGTCAGCCACTGACTTCCAGCTAAAGCAGAAACACACAGGGGCGTTCAGTCTCAGCTGACCGTGTAACTCAGATTCACTCAGGGTTATCTGATGCGTTAAACATGTCTGTACCATTCAGTGTTGTTCACAGCGTCCCCAAACCCAGGGGTATCCACAATGGTGAGTTTCAATTTGACACCTTTCTCCTCTATATCCACCGTGTGTTTGGTGATTTCTACCGTTTGTGTGATTCTCTCTAAGATAGAAAAAAAGAAGTAAACAGCCCTCAGCCATTACATAATGTAGTACAGCAAATTTTAAAACAAATAAGCACACGCACCTTCTGCATTGAGCAGCTTCCTATCTTTGTACAGATCTGTGAGAAACAGACTGTTGACCAGGGTGGACTTTCCCAGGCCAGATTCACCTTCAAACAAAGAACAACAAAGAAGAAAAGACCGTCTTTTTAAAACAAACACGGTCTTAAGATCAAATAGCAGCTAATGCTAAAATGAGGATTTACCTGCTACCATGAGCGTGAAGTCAAATCCTTTCTTGACAGACTTGCGGTGCACCTGGTTTGGCAGCGTTGCGAAACCCACGTACTCCTTGTCCTGGTCCTACAAATGCACAAAAAGATAAAAATGGAATAAGGAAACAGAGGCTGTGTGTACACCATGGTTTCTTTTTTCCAAACCTGATATCGGCTTTTTGAAATAGTTTGGCATTGTTGTCCCATTTGCAGTATTTCGACAGCAATAACGGCAACAGCACAAAACCAAAAAAACAAAACAAAACACCCAAACAACTGTAAAACATGGTATGAAATGTATCAGCATGTTACAGCACACAGGCTGTGCTGACCCCTCTTTGGGGCTTCCTGACCGTGACGCCTTGTATTACCTCGCTACTGTCGTATGGGTCAAATCGAACCCAGGGGCTCTTTGGCCTGGAGGGACTGACGGGGGACGGCAAGTCAAACTCCACGCTTCGGCTTTGTGGCAAACCGGAGTCTGAACCCGAATCTGACTGGGCCCTGCCGGCCACGGGGGGCCGCAAATATGACGGGGTGTGGGGGCGGTCATTGCCCTCGGCCTGCCTGTCCGCATCATGAGCCTCGGGGTCATGATGGTGGTGATGCTTGTGATGGCGGAGACCGTGCCCACCATGATGCTGAGGGTCCTGCATAATGTTTTCCACTTCTGAGTCATCTGAATGGCTTGAGGGCTGGAGAGAAGCGAAGGTCGTGGGGGGGGCGGGAGGGATGACGAGGCGAACAGGAAAAAAAGAAATACGGTGGAGGGAAAAGAGGAACGGTAGAGCACCAATGTAGAGGGGGAGGTATGGAGATCCAGAGGGTAGAAAGTTTTAGAAAATCAACTTAAAGTTTTATGGTGAGGGATTTAAGACACAGCAACAAAGAGATCTTTCATATCTGACAACTCAAAACTGTTAGTATGCCCAGCTGAAGGCCAGTGGGTAACACATGACATTTGTACATTAATGTGGATGAGCCTTTAACTATTCATTGGAAACAGGATACATGTTAGGGACTTTACAGCTGGTGGATCACCTTCTATTATAAATGAAGAGAAGTCATGTTAGAGCTGAACACTGCAGCCAAGTTGTTTTATGAAACTAACAATGAATGAACTCCAATACTGTGTTTATATTTACTCTCCTATAAGAGTGATCGTAACATTAAAGACAAGGACTGTTTTAGACATCAGGTATTTTACTCTTCATTATTAATGCATCTTTAAAAGTGTAAATTTTCTGTAAGAGGACACGCAGCTATGGACTCTAGTTACAGTTACTAAAGTCTCCCTGATAAATAAATAATAGAGTGGAATTCAGCAAGCAACACGGCCACTCAAATTCAGCTGTGAGCTCACACTGTGACACAGTTTTAAATTTAAATTTAGACCCTAAAGAGATAAATTCATGTCTAATCCTTAGCTTAAGCGCATAAAAACTACAGACTTTGACGGCAGAAATCAGCTGAAGATGGGCAGTAACAGAAAAAAATATATATTTGGGGCCGGGGGGGGGGCATCACCGATACCTGTTCATGGTGATCATGATCATGGTGTCTGCTCTGATTAGGGGAAGCTGGACAGGAGTCTTGTTCATCTGATGAAGAGGAATGCTCGTGGTCACTGTCCTCCATTGCAACTGGGGCTAAAGCGCACTCTGTGATCTTGAATCCGAAGGGCGCACGCGTGTGGTGAGGTTTATCGGGGAAAAGAACAACAGGGAGGTTGAAGAAGAGGATGGAGAAGGGCCAACAAAGAGCCTCGCAGATCCACGCATGAACCACAAGGAGGACATGAGGAGCACAGGTAAGATGGATAAAGACGAGGAAGAAGACGACAAAAAAATTAAAAAAGCTAATGAATAAAAGAACATACCATTTACAGCAGAAATGGTATGATGCATGTAATAATATAACAAGGGACTGAACAATAGATATATGCTATAAATTAATATGCATCTGTAAACATTTGATTGCAAAATCAAAACATGTATAGGATGAGCTAAACAGGGACAGGAATTAATAAGCATTTGCTTCCTTATTATTTTTTTCCCAAACAGGAATTGCTCAATATTTTCAACATGATATTTTCTTTGATATCATGTTCATTCATTTAATAAAAAAAAAAAAAAAGTATTAACTCTCGTTATGCGTTTCAAAATAAAGATTTGATACAGATCAGGTTATGTTCACTCCTCTTGTTCTGGTGCCATTTTCCTATTCATGCTCACAGCTACAGTTACAGTCAAAAGCTAACTACAAGTTTGACAGCAAGTAAAGTCTGTGCCAATTTCTTTCCAGTTTAATTTTGATAAAAAAAAAAAAGCTTAGCATGTAATCTTTTTGCTGTTTTCCACATGGTTAGGTGCTCCACCTGTGACCTACAGCTCTAATATGATTGGGATTTAGAGCTTAAGGGCAGAGGAAACAGTGATAGTTTCACCGATTGGGAAATCGGTGACCTGCTTTCCTGATGCACAACCAAAGCCCTAAGATCAATGTCCAGCATGGTGGGTTCTGTGTCCTACATAAAATAAAGTGTCAATCACCGACATTTTGCTTTGGATTACAAATCCACAGAAGTGCATCAAACAGACTCCCACTACTTTTTTTTTTTTTTGCTTAAATATGAAAAAAGCTTCAAAGCGACTTTTAGATGTATCATCTGGAATATCACACTAAAACAACTCAAGTGACTACAGGAATAAAAATCAAAGAACAAACTAATTATCAAACATATTCTCAGTAAAGTGGATAAAAGCACGTTCACCCGTTCTCACCTCCTTTCTTTCGATGCCTCACCTGTGTCTAAAACCCTCTTCTTTTTACTTCTTAAAAACTGCTCCTCGTACAAAGTCCAGCAGGACTCGGAAAGCAAAGAGCAGCGGCTCCAGCATTTATACAACTCCACACTAGAGGACACAGCGCCCTTCAGCTCCATTGAGCTGGTCGGCACCCCGGGGAGCTGATCAGTGGCATTGATGAGGTGCACGTCAGCGCTGACAGGCATCACCAACCCAGACATAGACTACATCCATCAAATCTACTTAACTTTGGGGCTGCACAGCTCCATGTCGTGCACAATTATACACAAACTGTGAGTTTGACATCTTCTGCTGTTTCACCGTTTTGTCTGACAATTCACATTGACACCAGCAAACAGCCTAATCTGATGAGTTGAACCTGATAACAAAGCAAAAAGATAAGGAAACACTGATAGCAGCATTAGAGCAGAAAACATGATGCTACTTTGTCACTGTGTGTGGACTGATGTTATAACATGAAGACAAATACTGTGCATATTTTGCAGGGCCCATTCTTAACCTTTGCCACTCACAGCTAATGTCTGTACTCCATAAGCCTACAATGACAGTTCCTGTGACAATAAAATATGTCAAGAGCAGAAGTATCCTCACAAAAGACTTACAGGAACTGCTCAGGGTTTGCAGTGTGACATCAAATTCAATTCTAATAATGATCGGTTCAGCCAGAGAGGATCTGAGGCCAAATTTCCTCTCATTCTGTTTGGGAGCTCGAGTACTAAAGGAGGTGACTAAAGTCAGATATTTAGGTTACATCATCAGGAACAATCACTGTGATGATAATTAGAGCCTGACAGCTATTGATACCAAAACCAATCTCCACATTTGGTGATTTAAAAACAGGATAAACTCATATACTGATGTGCAATGCTGATATACTACCCCAAATGTGTATATTGTACAGCTGGTGTTAAAATCGGTCCTAGTGGTGTATTTAGACTAAAACTAAAATGAAAAAGAATAATGACTTTAATAATAATGACTTACAAGTCTCTGTCTAGAGAAAAGGCTCTGCAGAGGACCATCACCACCTGACTGTCAGCCTGGCTATCGCTGACCATGTGAGTTGTCTACTTAGAGGTAGGACTGTAGAACTATACAACATCCACAGACACACATATACTCTGCACATATTCAAAAGAGACATCAGGGCCTCAAATGCTCTTCTTTCTCTCCCTTAAAAATTTCAGAATGCAGAAAATGACTGACTTAAAGAACAGCTTGGAATAAAGAGTATCACAAAGGTAACCACCAAATGTTTCCACCAGATCACACGAGGTGAAGCCGAGCTGCTTACTGCCTCATTATAAACATAACTGCCGGCAATGCTGATGAATTCACTAATTAAGCTAACAAATGAATTAATTATAAACTATTTATCTGCCAAGGCACTTGTCTTCACGTACCACATTAAGCATTTAGGAGAACTCCTCATTTATAAGCAAATTTATTCAGCTCCCAGTTTGCATCGTCTTTACGGGAGACATCATCGTGTCTGGGAATCATACAGTTACTGTACACATTTCCTATTCCTTTACTGTTGTATGCACATATTTCAGAAACTTACATGTTACCTTTTTGTGTAGTGTGTCTGTGTCTTCATTCCTTTCTACTTTTGTAGCATTCCTGAAGTTGACCCCAACTTCAGAGCTTGGTTACAGATTTCTTCTCTAAGCCAAACATACTCTCAGTTTACTCCATCTTTAAAAGCAGCCGAGATAGCAGGCATTACTGAATGCAGGTAGGGGATTTGTCTTCCTCTAAGCACTAAAGCAGCTTTGTACAGCAAACTGATGAGGTTCAAACAGGTTCAAATTCTTCCTCTCACACCAAAGCAGCCATCAGGCCATTCCTCCGCTGTGTTCTCGGCCCTGATATTTAAGAATTTAGAGCCGAAAAGCTCTTAAGAAAAGAATGCCACAGGAAATTGTGTTTGGGGTTTTTTTTGTTTTTTTTTCCCATTTTTTAATATACCTAAGGAAACATTAATTTTCTCTTTTATTCAGCTGGAAGAAAAAACAGCAGACTATAAGTCAAGAACAATTACAACTATTCTGTGTTCCTAGTATGCATAAAGTAGGAAAAGGGATATTGGGGAATTATTAAGGCAGAGTTCAACATAGGCGAGACATTTAGGCTGATTTTACTGGAGTTCCATTTTCCACATGCAAACATTTCCACTAACTTTAAAAAACCATTCAAGTATCTCCTGACACATTAATCTTGGGCTTAAATGCATTCCCACTAAAATGCACTTCAGCACAACTTGCTCAGCGCCATCTTTCCAATTCAGTTTGGGTGGAAAGCAAAGCCCGTAAACCTGCACTTTAATGGTTACTGTGAACAGGCTGAACAATTCAAATATGAGCAAATGTTCTGAGATCAGCAAAAGCTCCTTTTAACAAGATTTACCATCATATATTTCTTAAAGTTGGCTTCTCCAAGCCAAAAGAAAGGCAATTTCCAGTCCCGAGCCAATAAAAAATGAAAGTCAGGCTATTGTGTGTCATGCAGATAAATCAATATGCTAATGAAACACATGATTGACTACGGATAGAAAGATTAGTGCTGCTCTCATGAGCAATACAAACACAGAAAAGCCATACAACTTACACAGCTCTAGATTTAAAGTTTAGAAAGAGACCCCAACAAAAGTTTAAAAAAGAAAAAGAAAAAAAAAAGCCCCCAATCTTGTGTAAGATTTACAGAAGTGTCCCCTAATCCCGATTTCTCCAATATTAACTGATGACGTGAAAACAATCTTCCTTAACTAGAATGAAACCTGATGGGCTTTGACATCTATGTCACATTTTTCCATTTTGGTCCCACACAGTCTCCCACTGGAATGAGTCTCCACTGAGACCTGAACCAATTATAATTTCCATAACTGGCTCAGGGTGAGTTCATCGAGAAAATAAGCAACCAATCGCTAGAGAATCCACGCAGAGTTTGACGAGAGATAAAACAGAACAGATAAACTGCCAACTGGGTGAAACCATGGTGTAGCTGGTTCTGATCCAAAGTGGTACCGTGAGGATCGGAAGCACAAAGCCCCAGCTGGAAATCAGGAACACCAATGCCCAAGAAGTAGTGCCAAACAGGCCTTCATAACACAACAGTCCATATGGCTTTTGAGACTTCCTCACATTATTCAAAAATGCTTTAAAGACTTCCTCACATTACTCAAAAACATTCATCTACATTTTCTACATAGCAAAACAAAGGAGGGAGGGAAAATTAATCACTGGTATGTGGACACAAACATTTTGCCTCTGGAACGGACATATTTTACTTTGTCAACAGCTGCGTCTTTGTCATTTCCTGCAACACTGATAAAAATGCACTTATGATGTTCGCCTGAAACGTTCTGTTTGCCATGTGAAATTAGTAAGAAGTGGGGTTAAAGTAACAATTTTAGCTCTTTGTTGCATATACAGTCCACAAAGATGGATTCAATAATCTTAATGATATTTAATAAGCAGTCTAAGAGGCAAGTGGTAGGTTTCTGCACAGCTACTGAGATGAATAATACTAGCCTTTGAAGTTCTTTCCAGTCCTTTATCAAGAAGACCACTGTTGGAAAAAACAACCTCTCAAGTATGTGTGGCATTTATTACGATGGGAGTAAAATCTTTATGCTAAGCGGTGCAGTCCCTGAGAAACAATTGGAGGACATGAAACCTAGCCAAACACAAACAAGTTGTGCGGCTAACTGTGCTGCTTTGTTACTTTTGGATCAAGATGGTGGGTTTGGCTGGCACAGCGCTGATGGACGGTGATATGTTGCATTAAATGCTGCTCTTAGGGGAAAAGCCCTCTTCAAATGTACGACATGGGAAATGCAATCAGAAACTGCCAGAAGTCATAAAGAAGCCGGGCAGCATGTTGTTATTCACCGTCCGTGATGAAAGCACATTTCAGCTCCGTAGGAAATGCAGTTGACAGAGTCGTATATAATCCAGCTACAATAATTACTGCACTATTATTCACTTCATGCTAAATCATTTTTGCTTGACATAAGGTGCCACGGTTGGCACGAATTCTCTCTCTACTGTACGCTGGTAGACGGAGCATGATTATTATTTCATACACACTGTATTGATATTATGCTCCTCCTAGATTTTAGCGTTTCCACAATTCAATACAAGACACTATTTATATAGCACCAACTCACAACAAAAGTCACCTCAAGGTGCTTTATGCTGTCAGATGAGAGAAAAAACCCAACAGTAAGACAATCCACTTTGAGCAACCACTTGACAACAGTGGGGAGGAAGAACTCCCTCTTATCAGGAAAAAAAAAACCTCTGAGAGAACCAGATTCTGTGAGGGGTAGCAATCTATTGTGATGAGTTGGGGTGGAGAAAAAGAGTAGACAGCAAAGGAAAGCATAGAGAGCTATTACAGACAAACAGAAACTATGTGAGAGTAGAAAAAATTAATGACAAACAGCAGTAAAACAAGAGAGTGGAGTGGGTCTCCTACCAATCGTAATCAGTGGATTGCCTCCCCAGCCACTCTCCCATGTGAGAGTATCCTTGAGTAGTGCGAGTTCGAATGTTAGATACAGCACATGCATGAATGGTTGTTTGATTCAGCAAATGAGGCTTATAGTCAGGGGTGCACATAAGTGGTCCACGGGTGCGCATTTGCAGTCAAAAATAAAAGACGCGCACCAGATAAGAAGTTGCAACGCGCGTTTGCGTACATATAAAAAGGCACTGTTTTTGTCCGCTAGAGTGGGATTTTCACGGCATATTCTGCACCACATCTCTGTGCTTTCATCATTTGTTTGAAGCCAGCTCACGT